GCTGTCAATTACAACAATAACAACAACAACGACCACAGGAAGAAGAGGCGACAGATTCAATATAAAGAAAACAACAATTACACCATTATACCAAAAACAACAAACACATCATTGTTACAACAACAAAGTCATAACAAGAAAAACAATAACATTCATTCATTCATTCAACAGTCGCAAGGAGTAAAAATTCGAGGAGCATGTTTATATTTATGTGTGTTAGTATGGGAGGGGTTTTGGGTTGGGGTGTATGCTTGGTCGTTTCTCTCATAGAACACCCATATTATTTAATTTTATTCCATTTGCTTTCGTTTTGTGCTCATATTCTCTATAAAACAAACACACACGTTGTTCCTATTTTATGGAAGCTGATAACAGTGTTGCCGTGTTTGTGGACATTTCGGCGACACAATCGTAACAATTTTCAGATTTTTGGGCAAATGAGTTTTATGTGGAGGTCAGTGATTGGCAAAGTAATTTGTTCTAAGAAGAAACACGATTGGATGCAAAACTCAAAACACGAAATTGATTATATGAAAACCGATCACTTTTGACGGTTGTTATATCAGTTATAAACATCTCTATTTATACCCTACACCACATAGTGGTAAGGGTATTATGTCTTTGTGCATTTGTTTGTAACATGGAGAAGGAAACGAGATAGACCCATAGTTACTTTTGAGAACCTTCATAGAATCACTTTCTGAGTCGATTTATGCATGTCAGTCCGTCCGTCCGTCCGTCTGTCCATGTATTCTTGTGAACAAAATGCAGGTCGCATTTATTATCCGATTGAGATGAAATTTTCCAAACAATATTTTTTGGCCCAAGGACGAACCCTATTGAAATTGGTGAGAATCGGATCAAATTTAGATATAGCTCCCATATATATCTTCATCAGATTTCGGGTTAAATGTGCTCCAAATATCCACTATCAGTCCAAATTACCTGAATTTTGGCACACCCAACCGAGATCGGCCTAGAAGCAAGTATATCAAATTTGAAGAAAATCGGTTCAGATATAGCTATAGCTCCCATATATATCTTTCATCCGATTTGATCTTTAAGTCCCTCACATTCCTACTATGCACTCCACAACCGTGATATTTGGTACCAGGTATTAGATGGAGCACAAAAATAGCTGTTTTAAATTTTATCGAAATCGGTTCAGATTTGGATATAGCTCCCATATATATCTTCATCCGATTTCGGGTTAATTGACCACCAAATGGCCAATATCAGCCCAAATGGCCCGAATTTTGGCACATGTGACCGAGATTAGCCTTAAAGCAAATACAATAAATTTGGAGAAAATCGGTTCAGAAACAGCTATAGCTCCCATATATATCTTCATCCGATTTCGGGTTAAATGTGCACCAATTGTCCACTATCAGTCCAAATTACCTGAATTTTGGCACACCCAACCGAGTTCGGCCTAGAAGCAAGTATATCAAATTTGGAGAAAATCGGTTCAGATATAGCTATAGCTCCCATATATATCTTTCATCCGATTTGGTGTTTAAGCCTCTCACATTCGTAATATGAACTCCACAAGAATGATATTTGGTACCAGATATAAGATACAGCCCAGAAATAGCTGTTTGTAATTTTATCGAAATCGGTTCAGATTTGGATATAGCTCCCATATATATCTTCATCCGATTTCGGGTTAATTGTGCACCAAATGGCCAATATAAGTCCAAATGGACTGAATTTTAGTACATCGGACCAAATTCAGCCTAGAAGCAAGTATATAAAATTTAGTGAAAATCGGTTCAGATATAGATATAGCAACTATATATATGTTTCTTCCGATTTAGAGTTTTAGTCCCATACATTCGTAATATTCACTCTACAACCGTGATATTTGGTACCAGGTATTAGATGGAGCACAGGAATAGCTGTTTTAAATTTTATCGAAATCGGTTCAGATTTGGATATAGCTCTCATATATATCTTCATCCGATTTCGGGTTAAATGTGCACTAAATTTTCAATATCAGCCCAAATCATCAGTCTAGAAGCTAATACGTAAAATTTGGAGAAACCCGGTTCAGAGATAGCTATAGTTCGTAAAATGCACGATAGAATTAGATGGATTTTGATTTTGTACCAAATATCTCATAGAGCTCTGAAATGCCCTGTATAAACCTTTTTACGAGAGCTCTACTAAATATGCATAGTGGTGTAGGGTATCATATAGTCGGCCCCGCCCGACTTTTGAGCTTTCCTTACTGGTTTTTATTTAAAAGTAGAATCAGAATTTTGATATTTTGTATCAGTTATGTCAAATTGCCAACAATTCTGATGAACAATGCCAGATAGCGGGAGGTGCCATTATATTTTCATTATGGGGTCTAATAGGCATATAGGTCAAAATTGGGACATCGTTCAAAATTTAAACAGACTTGGTTCCGCTCCGGAAATAGAAAATATTGAATCATTCATTCCTATACCTCCCCTGCAAGAAGTTACCACTTTAATTTATAACAACTCCCCTAAAATCGGAAACCAATGACCAATTTTCTTTGCATTTGTTATCTTATTAAAGCCCCCATATAGTGGTACCTCCCGATATTCGGTATTATTTATTATATATATTTATTGGTCATAATGGGTTCTGCCTGCGGTGGCGAAATATTGTATGTATGGGTCCACGCTTTGGTATAGACCCCATATAACGGTACCTCCATATATTCGGTATTTTGACGATTTTTTGAATTTGTCTAAAAATTGGTATTTGTGTACCCTATTGGGTTGCTATTGGTACCTCCCGATATTTTGATGATTTTTCGGACATTTTCGCACGAATATGTCTGAAAATTGGTAGTTGTGGGTCACAATGGGTTCTAATGTTTCCTTTACCCTAACGTGGAGGGTATTAAAACTTTGGCCCGGCCGAACTTAATGTTTTTTATACCCTCCACCATAGTATTGAGGACTTTTGGTATTGAAAATGGGTCATGTAGGTCCACGTCTTCGTATAGTCCCCATATATAAATTCCTCCCGATATTCGGTATTTTAATGATTTTAGCGACATTATTTACCGGAATTATTTTATATTTGGTATTTAAAGTTCGTAATAGATACTTCAGAATATGACAGAAAATAGTCTGTGCAGGTCCACGTCTTCGTATAGCGACATTAGTTATCGAAACTATTTCAAAATTGGTATTTGGATTTCATAATGAATACTACAGCCTATGACAGAAAATTGTCTGTGCAGGTCCACGTCTTCGTATAGACCCCATATAACGGAACCCCCAATATTCGGTATTTTGATGATTTAAGGGACATTATTTACCGGAATTGTTTCAATTTTGGTATTTGAAGTTCGTAATGGATACTTCATCCTAAGACAGAAAATGAGCCATGTAGGCCCACGTCTTCCTATAGTCCCCATATAACGGTACCTCCCGATATTGGATATTTTGATAATTTTAGAGACGTTATTTAGCGGAACTATTTCAAATTTAGTGTTTGAAATTCGTTATGAATACTTCAGCCTATGACAGAAAATTTTCTGTGCAGGGTGCATGTCTTCGTATAGCCACCATATAAGGGTACCCCCCGATATTCGGTATTTTCATGATTTTAGCGACATGATTTACCGGAACTATTTCAAATTTGATATTTAGATGTCATAATGAACACTACAGCCTATGACAGAAAATTGTCTGTGGAGGTCCACGTCTTCGTATAGCCCCCATATAATGGTACGCCCGATATTCGATATTTTGATGATCTTTTTCAAATTTGGTATTTAGATGTCATAATGAACACTACAGCATATGACAGAAAATTGTCTGGGCAGGTCGATTTATAACCCCCATGGTACCTCCCTATATTCGGTATCTTGATGCTTTTAGCTACATTATAAAGAGATATTTTTTCAAGCTTCGCATTTGAATATTGCAATAGCTTGTGACAAGAGTTGCCTATGCAGGTTCAAGTCGTCTTATAGACCATAATATACGGCTACATTCGGTATTTATAAGATTATAAATGTTTACCAAATGGTGGAGGGTATTCAAAGTAAGGCCCAGACGAACTTACAGCTTTTTTACTTGTTTTTACTTGTTAATACCAAACATCCTAAAAACAATGCTAATTGTTGTGCCAAATTCTGAAGCTTTACGCCAAATAATTTGGCTGCATCGTGATTTCAACAGAAAGTCAGATAGAGGGACAAACAATCGGACATCGTTAAATTGACTTCGAATTTTATGTTGATCATGATGGGGTCTACGACCAGTATGTATGGATGTTACAAACGGAATAACAAAGTTAATTTACACTTCTTATCTAGGTACGACTGACAATAAGTACTATATTTTCTTTTGTAGATATAATCGTAGATACGATCGTCTTCTGGAAAGCTTGTCTTAAATTTTAATGATTTTTATTCCCACATTTCAATTCTAGTCTTGTGAACAAACTAATGAATTAAATGGCAACATTGTTTGGAAGACCCCAAAAGCATGCTAAGTTTTATTCTCTTTTCTTTGTTTGAAGCTCAAATTGCTCTCTCTCTCTCTCTCTCTCTTTCTCAATCTTGCATCTTCATTTGATTACACGTTGTTGGCTGGATCCTGTGTGACTCATATGTGTATTGGTGGGTTGGTAATGTTTGTTGCTCCAATGGAAGTATGAATGGGTGGCCCATATACATATGTGTGTGTGTTGTGGCTCCCCAAACAATGACAAAAACAACAATAACAAACCAACATACCAAAACATTCTGCAAGCCTACTCTGTTGTGACTAATGTCGTGTGTGTATGTAAGTCGGTAGATGGGTCTGTGTGTACGCGGTGTATGTTTATATTTTGCCAACAACAACAACACAAGTGCGTGATTTGCTCCTTTCCCATGTAAAGTGGTTGTGCTGTTGTTTTTGTTTTTGTTTTCATTTCATTTTTTCTATTTTATTTTTCCGTTTCTTTTTATATATTTTTTTCTGGCCTATAAATTTATCCCTTTTTTCTTTATTCCATTTACATACATTTATGTGTTGTTGTGAGCTGCTTCTGCTACTGCTAAGGCTGTGACTGCTTCCGCTATGGATTTGGGTAATTTAATGATTCCTTTTGAAATGGAATTTAAAATATTTTTGGAGATGTCATTTATGACTTGGCATTATTCACAATTGAGTTGCAGCTTTTTTTATTTATTTATTTTTTTTTAAGGAATCGACGTTTTCACTTTGTTCCAGGAGCTCATATTTTTTTCAATTTTTATTTAATTTTCCTTGTTATTTTTTACATTAAATTTCTAGATTTTTAGAATTATTTTGTTTTTTTTTTTTTCACTTCCCTTCACACTACAAGTTATATTCACTGGACCGTCCGCGTTATATCCACATTCCGCTGTGGCAATTTACGTCGTTTCGCGCTTTGTATTCCGTTCGTATGGAGAGTAGGCACGCAACTGATTTCTTCTGGTGTGGATGTGAAAAAGCTTTCCGTTGTTAGACCTCTGCGTTTGTGTGTTGCTCTTGTGACATTTGCTGTTGTTATTATTTTTTGCTGGTTTTCCTGACCCGGGTAGCAAAGTAAGAGAATGAGAGAGCGCGCGCAAATAGAGCTTTTAGGAGTTAGTGTTGTGTTCAAGTGACTGTTGCATTAGGGATATAAAAGGATACGGATATTCGTTAAGGTTAGGACTATATATTTTGATGAAGGGTATTGGCGAATTCGAACTGAAAAAAAAAATTGTATTATTACTAAACAATAAGTCTGCAGTTTTCAATGGGGATGTTTATACCGCCACCATAATATGTAGGGTATATTAAGTTTGTCATTCCATTTGTAACACCTCGAAATTCACATTTAAGCCCCCATAAAGTATAAATATTCTTGATCAGCATCAAATTTTATGCCGATTTAGCGATATCCGTCCGTATGTCCGTCTGTGGAAATCACTCTAGCTTATGGACGAATTGAAGTAGATTGATAAATTTTACTCAAATGTATATAATGTTTGCATGACTTTTGGTATTGAAAATGGGCCATTAGGTCCACGTTTTGGTTTAGCCCTTATATAACGGAACCTCCCGATATTCGGTATTTTGATGATTTTAGCGACATTATTCACCGGAATTGTTTCAAATTTGGTATTTGAAGTTCGTAATGGATGCTGTAGCCTAAGACAGAAAATTGTGTGTGCATATCCACGTCTTCGTATAGCCCCCTTATAACGATACCTCTCCATATTCTGTATTTTGATCGTTTTAGCGACATTATTCACCGGAATTATTTTAAATTTGGCATTTCAAGTTCGAAATGGTAGCTACAACCTATGACCGAGGACTGTCTGTGCAGGTCCACGCCTTCGTACAGCTCCCATATAACGGTACCTCCCGATATTCGGTATTTTGATGATTTTAGCGACATTATTCACCGGTTTTGTTTTAAATTTGGTATTTGAATTCGCAATGGATACTACAGTCTATGACAGAACATTATATGTGCAGGTCCACGTCTTCGTATAGCCCCCATATTACGGTACCTTCCGATATTCGGCATTTTAATGATTTTGTCGTTATTGTTATTCATCGGAATTGTTTAAAAATTTGGTATTTGAAGTTCGTGATGGATATCGTCCATGTCGTCGTATAGACCCTAATATAACGGATATTTCGACATTTTTAAGACTTTAACAGAATTTTTAACGGATTTTATTGTTTTTGAAAATTGACAAATTCGATCCAAATGGTGGAGGGTATTCAACGTTCGGCCCGGCCGAACTTACAGTTTTTTTTTTGTTTTAAATCCGAGTCAAAAGGGCATCAATTTATTTATTTGGATATTCGTACTAAGAGGGTACGAAACGTACTAAAAATGGAAATTTTGGTGTTGGACGAACGGAATGTGTGACCTGTACTGAATGGTACTAAATTTGGAATAATTTGGTTTAATGTGAGCGGATGAAGCAGAAAATTTTGAAGTTATGTATTGGGGTTCCTGTTTGTGGTAGATTTCTGATAAAAAGGTGGTATTGAAAGTGTGTACTATAATTGTAAGAAAAGTACTTAATAGTACTATATTTAGTACAATTTTGGTATTGAGTGAACAGATAGTCCTTGAAATCTGAAATTTGGTATTGTTATCGCAGTTCATGTTCATGTGCCTGGAAACGTGGAGGTAGTGTCGGAAATTTGTACAATTATTGTACAAAAAGTACTACATGTTATTATGTAGTGTATTGGGTGAAGGGATAGATAATTGTACGAAAAATACTAAATAGTGGTTTTGGAAATTTGTACCATAATTGTAAGAAAAGTACTAAATAGTATCAAATTTTGATATTGGGTTAAGAAACAGAGCTGGAATCCCGAAAATTGATATTGAGGTCTCTGTTGGTATCCGATATTAATATATGACGGTGCTTTTTATGTTGTGTACAATATTTGTACTAAATTTGGTATTGGGCAAAGGAACATAGCTGTTGGTGTCCGTAGTTTAGATATGGAAGTGGTTTTGGAAATGTGTGCTATAATTGTTCGATCTGTATGAGAGATATAAGTTTTGCAAACCGTGAAGCTTTGTTGGAGTGGTAAAAGAACGGGTAGGCCGATGTCTGCCCTTTTCACACCAGAACTTGCGTTAGTAAAAATATTGAGATACACTAAATTTGAAAAGAATCTGATTCTCATTTCGCATTTAATGAGAGTGATAATTATTCTAACTTTTGACCCGTTGTGCGGGAGATACCAGAAGAAGTAGTCAGACATATTTCATCTTCGCACCTGGTTTTGTGTTCATAGAAATATTGGGATATATGAAATTTGTAGAAAATCTGATGCTTATTTTTGCATTTTTTAAAATTTAGGAGAGAGGTACCAGAAGGAGTGGATTGATATAGTGTATCTTCACAGCAGATCTTATATTAGTAGAAATAATGGGATGTGTGAAATATGAAGAGAACTGGATGCTCATTTCGGATTATATAATCGTTTTGCTTATTCAAAACTGGACCCTTTTTTGGGGGAGTTACCAGAAAGAATGGTCCGATCTCTACCATTTTTCTAATAGATATTCTGTAGATAGAAATATTGGGATGTGGCAAGTCTGAATGGAATCGGATGTTAATTTCACGTTTTACGAGCTTCAGGGATATTCACAAATTTGAGCCTTTGTGTGGGAGGTACTGAAATGAGTGGAACGATATATTCCATCTTCAAACCAGACCTTGTGGTGTGTGTAATTTTAAGGCAAGCGTGCTCTTACATCACATTTTATAAGAGTTATAATTAGTCAATATTTGGACCCTTTGTGGGGGAGGTACTTGATGGAGTGGCCCGATATTGTCAGTTTTCACACCTAAGCTATCACTGATGCAAATATTAGGATTTCCAAAGTTGGAGTAAAATTGGATTATCCTTTCTCTTTTTGTGCAGTAAACTATTTTATTTTTTGTTTATTATTTTTTTTTGTTTTTTTTTTTTTTTAAATTTCGACCTTCTGTGGGGGAGGTACCAGGTGAACCTATATTGCCTATCTCTGAAATCGATCTAACTTTGATAACATTATTACGATGTACAAAGTTTGGATACAATAGGATACTCCTTTCGAGAGATATCGTGCGCACCAGGCAGACGAAGGGACTGACGGACATCGCTAGATCGACTGCAAAAATCCTGAAACGGACTTGGTTTAAGGAGACCTAGGGTCTAAAATGGTTATTTCGATGAGGCGCATTTTGGCCGTATCAAATGGTATTTAAGAATAATCATATGTATTAAGTCCAACTTATATTTTCGCTCCAAACAACAATTTCATATATTCCCTATTTATGTAAATTTCAATTGTCGGGTACATAGGGTCACCAAGAGGCCGCTAAATAGAGCAACTGAAAACAATCAGATGAACTCAACACAATTTACATTGATAATCTACAAATTGCCCGAATGTCATGATGTCATAATTACCAAGCATCATCTTCCATAGATACTGGAGAATTTTAAATAAGCTTTTGCCACACACATACACACACACAACACGCGAGACACATTAGGTGAGACAATACAATATGTTTGTTCCAAAATACAAAACACTAATTAAAACAATTATTTATTACTTTGCAAACAAAAACTAGAAATGAGAGCGAAACAAGCTCATTCGAACGCATTTACCGGCTGACTGGCCATAGGTATGACATTGTCTGAGATTAAGAATCGATAGTGATTCTGAAATGAATATTATTTTAAATGTGAATAGCAAAGAAAAATGAAAACAAAAAGTAAACAAACATCTATGACGTCATAGAATTTGAATATTTTAACAACAAAAACAAAGAAGAAAAAAAAAACATCACAACTTTCATGACTTATTGGATGATGATTTGTTGCGGACTGAGTCGAGGGGTGAACTGTTTCTTGTTATTCGTGCGTTGTAATTATATACTCGGGATGTCTTTCAACGTATTTAATTGAAAGCAACAAAAAATTAACATTGAATCAATTAATTTATAAGCTATTTATTTGTAGATAATTAATATGAAAATAGTACGACGAATGAGATTTGTGTGGGGGTAATAGAGTAAATATGATTGTACGTTTTCGTTGTAGGACATTTGAAAAATCCAGTCGAATTAAATTGTCAATTCCATTGAATATATCTCAAATAAAATTTCCTTAAAAAAACGAAGAAATACCTTACTTTTTTATATTTCATGCCCTAAAAATTCTTGAGAAATTTTAAAACAAACTGGTAAGAAAGATGTAGCTTCGGCCGGGCCGAGCTTTGAATACCCTCCACCATTTGGAACGAATTTGACAATTTTCAAAAAAAAAAAAATAAATAAATAAATAAATATATAAAATCCGTTAAAAATTCAGTTAAATTTTTAAAAAATACCAAATGTAGCCGTCATCTTAGGGTCTGAACGACGATGTGGGCCTGCATAGGCAGCTTTTGCCATAAGCCATTACAATATTCAAATAGGAACTTGAAAAAACTCAGTGAATAATACAGCTTAAAACATCAATATAGGGAGGTACTAATATATGGGGGCTATACCAAAATGTGGACCTGCACAGACAATTTTCTGCCTTAGGCATCAGTATCCATTACGAACTCCAAATACAAAATGTGAAAAGTTTCCAGTAAAAAAATGTCGCTAAAATCATCAAAATACCGCATATGGGGGGTACTGTTATACAGGGTTGCCCATATTCGACGGACCCATGTTTTTTTCGGCCATTTCGATGACTCTTTGGGCCCATTCCAAACGACGAGGCTTGTCCGCAGGGAACAAAAGCAAATCAATGCGAATAATCCGTTGTAAAGTGGACCGAGCCATGCCCAACTGCTGAGAAAGGCGTTTTTGGGATGTTCTTGGGGACGTCTCAACACTGGCTCGTACGGCAGCGATATTCT